TTTTATTTTACGTTCGTCCCTTGGTATATCCTGAATAACTGTAGACCCGGCTTTTCTGAATCCTAAGTACGCCTTCCCTTCCATACGTAATTTTTTGTTAATATTCCTCTTCCACTGGCTAGGGTCGGCTTTCTTTCGCCGTTTTCTTCCTTCATTCATGTTGTGATTATTGGGATCTATAAACTTATCGGATTCGTTTTTGAGAAGAGATGAAGACAGCGGGCGTTCATCATCATGAGTATTTGTTAGCGTGATTGGTTCCTGAGAATCGTTTGTTTTTTCTAAATAAATGATTTGTTCCCTTGAGCTTTCGGAGTTTGTATCGTGTGCGAACTCCAGTTGTATTGGTAAAACTTCTTGTTCTGAAGAAGGCACACAACGTGGAATTATATGATCTGTAGAGGGAAGATGTTCTTCTTCCATATTAAATGAATTTAGAGAAACATAATCCGTAAAGCAAGAATCTTCAGTCAACACTATAACAGGGAGTGTTTGTTGTACCTCGGGAATACATTTCTGATAGTCGTTAATGTTCTGTGAACAAAAAGAGTATTATCTGCATAATATTAAATTTTCATGAGAAATAGATACTTATTATCATTAATTCAAGTCTTATTAAGTAGTGCAAGTTTACCTCTTTCGCTGATATGTTTTCGTTTCTTTCATTATTTCCGTTAGCATCATGTACCGCTTGCACTAAACGTCTACCTCTAGACAACTTATAGTCCTGTATTAAATAATATATATTAATAATTGTGTTTCAAACAATATAAAAAGATATAAAATAAAAATTTTATGGACACTAAAAACAAAAAGCACTATCTTGCTTCAATTTTTAAACCGACACCTACATTAGGTACATACAAACTCTAATTCATTTTGTCCTATCTTATTATTCAAATTATTAACGTCTAATTATTTTATAACTACAATGAAATCCCATTAAATACTTACCATTTTTAATCCTGGATAACATTAATAATAAGTTGAAATAACATAAAACACAGAACACTAGTAAATATTACTATTATACCCTTTTTTATTAAGAGCGGCTGAAGATCGTGTTCATGTCGGTACCAATTTAACGAGATAGTACAAATTACTCGCATTTAAAGCGGAAGCGCTGTTAGTATTGGTTGAATTAATTAGATTTTGCCGGTAAATTTAAATTATTTAGTAGATATTATATTATGAGACGGTAAAAGATATGAAATAGTATGAAATGCCATAAAAAAGTTTTATACCTCAAATTTTAAGATAGGACATATTGCCGGTTCACAGTCGATATGAGTCCATGCCCGCGTTATACAAAAGTACAAAATTGTCAGACCAGTAGTACGTAAAGAGTTTCTTTTATCATTGGCAAAATTATACTCTTTCATCCGTGTACTTAGTCTTATTTTGTTGAGATTTTTTTATAGACATCGTTCCAATGTTTTGCCTAGGGCGCCAAGTTTCATTGAGCCGGCGCTGATCATTATGCAGGAAAGTATAATGCAGTGCACCGATCTGTTATGTAAACATAGTATCGTCAAGTTAGCACAGTAAATATTATCTGCAATTGATTTTGTACTCCACACAATATTTTAAAATCAAGTGGTTAAATTTGTCAGTGTTGATCGAACTTATATTACTATATTATGGACAGCTACTTTCTATATCAGGCTTGATATCTTCTGTATCTAATTATCAATGCCTGAACTGGGCCAGTCGCTCGCCACTTGAAAGTCAGAATTCAGAGCAGTATAATAACCTCTCAAAAGCGTCCGGGATCACTCCGTTAAATTTAACAGTCTTTGTTGTTGTTTCAAAACCTACCTACAGCTGATAAAATCAAACGAATTAAATTTTGTACCTAATCTATCACCGATATCCCCATTAACACTGCTAATCAATAATTAATCATTATCAAATCTAAGCAAAACACTTAACAATTAAAATTATTGATTTACATTAACCATTATAATTAATTTGGTGTTTATTTTCGTAGATTATTCAATAACGCTATTCTTATAAACGAAGTATCATTCATTATCTTCTATTCTTTTTGTTCCTTTTTTTTAACTAATTCATCCGTAAGCAAACCACACTGAAATATTTAAGGTTTAGACAAACGATCAACTTGATTTAAGTATAATGCATCTCCGTTCATTTCTATCTGTTTAGCAATAATTAATTAGGGAATAACTTTATCAGACAAAGAATCAATGGGAATTTTTAAAATAATTCATAGAAAGCCGATACATACACATTTTGTCCAGCAAAGCGACCGCCTATCTTTGATTATAGGTATAGCTATAAAACCGCTTTATTATTTTTCATAATATCAATTAATCTGTTGATATTCGTTTAAAATTAAATGTTTTTATTATTTACACATTTCATCAAACATTTTGGTTGATTTCTATTTTCGAAATCTTTGTTTGTCCAAACTCGTCATTTTGTAAATTTAGTCTTACTCTCTTATAGTAATTGAGTAAATTAAAACAACCAAAAACATTCATTAAATATGTAAATAATAAAACAAGAACATTGTTTAAGAATCTTAACATATTCATTGATAGAATAAAAGAACATTCTTATAGCTACGGCTAGAGTTATAGCGAGATTTGTAGGCCGCTCCTCTGTTTAAATTTTGGTGGAAGCATACGACTATGAAACCATTTGTTTGTTATTATATGTATATTTTGTTTTATACTTTATAGTACAAATATGATTTTAAAAATTCATTAGATTCTATAAAATTCCGCATTATAATTTGGAATAGATCGATTAGTTTTTATACCAAAAACTAATATTTTGTATTCCAGTTAAAAAATTAAGTCATTCGTCTACAATGAGCTTATTCGCTTGGACAGTTCCATCTATTTCATCTGTGGATTAGTACCTTATACATATCAAAACTTTCAGGTAACTAAGTGTCTCTATATTATTGGTCATTCGTGTCACTATCAGACTATGTCTTGTCCTTGTCCCTATAAAACTACTGGAGAAAGACAACGAATAGCTTGACGTTAATCAAAATGACCTTCATACTGTCAAAACTACATATAAAATGAAAACACAACCATTATTATTTTTATCGCAATGTATTCGTTCCTATGGCGATATTTTATTGCTAACCTATTTTTATTACGAATTACAATTAAAACCTTTTCCGTCTACTTAAACGGCAGTTCTCGCTAGTATTCTCACTTAAATCTCACGTCTTTAACTAATGTGCCCCACATCTATTTTAAAGTGCATCTATGAGCAAATCCATCTTGGTCTAAATTTGGACCAATCAGTAAAGCATCGCGGAGAGAAATTGTAAAATATTATTCATTTGATTTATCGATTCAGTAAACGTGTGTTTCGCATCACTATGTGACTGAGCGTTATTTACATGCTAGATTAGGTATTTAAATGTTGGAATTTTTCATTTTTCGCATTACCAAAATGCTAGTTTGAAATGGTATTCTTAATTAGGAAATAATCAAGAGCAAAATGCTGAAAGTGAGAACTGACTCGAATGAAAAAATTGTGCTTAATTTTTGCAGAACGTCATTAATGTTTATTAAAACCAATGAAATTTATTGCTAAGATTATGCAGTGGAAGTCGGCTGTGTAAAAACTAAGCACATTTTAAATTATGTAACTAATCTACGGCTACTATTGGACGAAGATTATAAATAAGTATTTACTAGGGTCTTACTTCTTTGAATCAGTCGATCGATTAACTTTGTTTTCGTGCACTAATGAATATTATTTTGGCGCAACATCTGAATTGTGAAATTTAAAGCTCATTTTATTGCATGTAAGGTAAAAAAATGTAGCATATATATGTTACATGATTTATATATTGATAAATTTACTTTCAAGTTTATGTTGCCACGCCAGAAATAATCCTAGATATATATTATATAATTTTCAATAAGCATTCCTAGGAAACATAGCTCTAATTTAACAGGCCAATTATTTGTAAGAACAACCAATTTCACTGATTATAGTATAAGCCATATTCAAATTGATTGATTTAAAGGAAATTGTGAGCAAATAATATTCCTACTTTTGCTTATGAAAGTTTATTTTTTAAGAAAATATGAAACGTCACTGTAAAGTTATGAGTATAACTGTCATCTAAAAATATTTGTTTCTGATTTAGTGATAAACATAATTATCGATATTAATTTTATCGACACATGGAAATCTTTTTAAAGAATATTTCCTTTTAGTTTAATGTTAAAGAAACACTGAACTGTTGATCAGGTATAAACATAACTTCACTTGACTTTTACATTTTAATCATTTCGTTTCACAAACTGATTAGTTTTTTTATTAGGCTATTAGTAAGCGACGTTTCCCTCCATTTCCAATGACTGCTTTCATAAAAACGGTAATTATTCGGTAATGCTGTTTGTAATATTTTAATAATAATATTAACCAGTTTAAAATCATACTTAAATTTGGTTACTTTATTACTTAGCTTTGACATCAGCAAGAGAAATACAATGGAAGAATCACATCGCCTATTGCACTGAACGAAATCCAACCGAATTGTTCAAAAACGAACGGTAATTTCACTTTGAATTAATATTTACATCTATCGTTTGATTGGTGACAGTCAATCATAGAGCATAAACAGCGTACGAGTATAACCGTGTGTTAAACGATTATCTTGTAAGTTTTTATCGAATTACCCATCGTTTGCGAATAAGGCGGCTGATCGGTCGACCGAATCACTTAATTACCGTCAGATAAAAAGAGCACTAATCTTTTCACATTCAATGGAAGTGCGCATAGAAGCGTAGTCTATACCTGATATATACCTCGTCAAGAGTTTATGTGACAATCTTAATATCACACTTAATATCTTACGTAGTAGAATTAAGTATAGACGTCTTAACTTGTACTAAGCAGTGTTGTTGCGATAGTAATAGTCTATCAATAGTATTGTTTCGGAAATCAGTCGAACTATCGATTGTCCTATCAAAAATATCACCCTTGACAATATTATAAATAATATTGAGTGTCAAAAATAAGTAATACACGGCTAAATATCCATAGCATATCGATACAACAAATATTTACTTATTTCTCGCTCGATACTAACGTACTGATTAGTTTCGATAGTTCTAGCGGCAGTGCGACTCTTTTCAAGGTCAACTATCGATAACGAATCTATAGCTATCGCAACAACACTGGTACTAAGACGCGTGCGCAGATCCATCCCCTCCGCTGTGAAACAGAGCTTTTTTTATTTGACGGTGATTGTAATCTAATCTACTTCACCTCAGGCATGCACATGCTAGCGTCAGTGTGAGAAGCAGCGTCGAGGTGAGCGCCCCCGCTCCGTTACACATGTCCTCCTCACAGAAACACATGTGGCCCGTGCCAGTACTTTCCATCATGCAAACGTGGTCGACCATAAACAAATTGATTTGGAGCTGCGATGTGCACGTACGTCTGACGACCTCGTACGCTGAAAAAGGGATAAAACGATTGATAAATAAAACATTTATTAATTTTAATATGGGATGTAATAAGAAATTGGGAATTTTTGTATGATCTTCTCTGTACTTGGAGAGTATTTTTATGTATCAAAAAATGTTTTCCTCTTTACCGATGATGAACATCTACCGACATATGACAAAAGTTTTGGATTCGCGATCATGCAATTAAAAAAACTTTCACAAACTAAGTTGTCAAGAAAAATCGTCGCTACATATTATTAGAAAATAGGCCGTTATTTAGTGTTTCGTTAAAAGTTATACATATTTAAACATTAAGTAAGAAATTACTACCTACAAAACTCTTTTAATGTAAATTATGAAGTATTTAGTTATTTCTACCATTTTTTATTTATTGTGCCAGCTATCGGTGAATCTAATAAAATCAATTAAAAATGTTATTTTAATTTTACTCACGGCTCTTGGAGTACCGGACCATTTTGACGCAACAGCCGTTGCAAGTCTGCAATGGCGGCTGGTCGCGCGGCAATGCTGTGTAGTTGAACGGGTCTTTACAGCGTACATCCGTCCAACTGTCACACTCGTAGCAATATATTGTGCGAGCTGTAGCAAAAAAAAATTAAGTTTTAGAAAAAAAAAATTGTCAAGAGGAGTGCGTATATAGGCGCCATGGTTGTAAGGCTGAAACCGCACCGCATGGTACACGTACGTAGTTAAAGTCTCGTTTCCAGTCGGCTAATGCGTACCCTTTAATTCGAAGGACAGGCCTTACATTTTTACGGTTTCAGACTTTTATTTAATAATTGTGCGGTCTGAGCCTAATAGTGAAAGAAAACTATTTTATGTGGAACGTCACGGTGATAGTATTACGCGTCTTTAGATGGCGTTAGGCTTCTCATTTGGGGTTTAGTCATATAAACCATAATTATTTTTTCCAATAAACAATAATTTGTTTACAGATAAAATAATAAACGTATGTATTAAAATTGATATGTGAATTATGAGTACCTGGGTATAAGTATTTGTAAGTTCTGTACATCCTTACTGATTGACTGATAGGAATGTCTCTATAACATGAAGTCCACCATTTATTTTGTAATTTTGCCTAAAGCCTATATAAACTCCAAGAATATACAAACGCCATCTATTGACGATAAATATATGAACTCCAAAGGAGGAAGGAGCAAATGTCGTTGCAATAAGCGAGCATTTGACTTTTGTTTCTTTTGTTTTCAAAGTCTGCTTACTGAGTGATAGATTAATAAAAGCTGGCCGATCTCATAGGCGGCTGTAATATGAAATTATTAATAAAAAAAACAGTTTATTTTCGTTTAATGTAAAATTTGAAAGTGAACTTTCGTTTTATTTTTAATAAACTACTTTTTTTAAAGAAAACACTTCATTAATTTACTATTCAAAATGCAAGTGTAGCTATTACTCAATTTATCTATTTCTATTAAAATGAGTAGGTAAAATAATGTTAGTTAAACAACGATGTTCATGAAATAAAGTTATGATTGAAATATAATTATAATAAATGACTTTTAAATTTATAAATTTGGGGATTCCATTTTAATGTTAATGTAGTGAAAGTATTTATTTTATATTAAAAATATGAGTCAGAAAGGAATTAATCATAATTTTTATAAATAATGTAAACACGATTACTAACTAGATGATTTATACATAAAAGGTATAAGTGAGCTAACATCGAGTATTAGATGTCGGTAACACCAACATCTAATACTCTTAGAAAAAATCGCATGAATGGTTCCGAAATACCGAAAATAGCAAATTAGGCACATTTATTGTGTAAAAGTCCCCTCAATTATTTATTTTATTCTTAATTTTAGTATTTGTCGTTGAAGTGGCAACAGAAATATATTACCTGTGGAAATTTCAACTGTAAACTTTCACAGTTCATAAGATACAGCCTGATGACAGACGGACAGACAGCAAAGTCTTAGTAATAGAGTTCCCGATTCACCCTTTGGGAACGGTGTCATACAAAGGATTGACAGTTTGAGATAGATGTTCTTTAATATGTATTTGATAAGATAAAAACTAAAGGGCATATTCATAACGAAAATGTAAATTATGATTTGATATTTCTCGATTCCGTACTTTAAGAAATGTTGGATGATAAAAAAGTGCTTTCAATAAATTTTATTATTTTATTTGAATAACAAAATATTATCATCGACATAGATGTTATTAATTAACTACAACGTTAACGTGCTTTTTAAGTTTTGATATTCCTTAATAGAAAGGCAAAGAGCATAACCTATTTAAACTCTCCCAACATGAATGTTTTTTTTACCCGACTGCGCGACGCAAAGGAGAGTAATGTGTTTATCAGTCTATGTATGTACATATGTATGTTTTTTTCTATATGGCGTTCTAGAGACCAAATGCGTAGGCCGATTTTGATGATTCTTACGTCTATCGATTCGTCTTAACCTTGCGAGTGTCACTAAAGACATGACAGTAATCAAAATTCACCACAGCGACAACCAGACACCACATTGTCTAAATGAAAAAAATAAAAATCGATGAACTCTGTCAAGTGGGGTATCGTTGAATGGGTATTTTAAAATCATCTTTAGGTTCCTTTTATCATTTTTCATTTTAAATAATAGTTTAGGATATATAACGATTTAAAGTTTTTTAACAAAACATTCACGCTAATTTTTCATTAGGTTCTCTATTACAAATTCTTCCAGTTGTATTGTCAGACTTATAAACTTAAGGGTTTTTTATTATTCTTCAAATTTTTAAAACACATCGATTTACTTTCGATCAAAGAACATATGCACAAACATGTTCATGTCATGAAAATAACCGTGAGACCAAAAGTAATAGATAGATCAAAGGCATTCAACCATCACGAGGTAAGTACTGATATAAAGCAAACTTTATACAATATTATTAAACGATTATGAAACGTACGAACACCTGCTCTTAAACTGAAATAATGATTTTGATCTATTAACCTGGGGTTCAATTCTACTAAATAAATTTTGTTTAAATCGAATCGAAAACGGATCGAAACCGAACGAAACTACAGTTTTTAATAGTTTTTCTATTCTACTAAGTATTCTACGATACAATTCCAGCTAAAATAGAACTGGGATTGTATCGTATGTCACTTTGTAGAATAGAAAAACCATTAAACACTGTAGTTTCGTTCGGTTTCGATCCGTTTTCGATTTGATTTAAACAAAGTTTATTTAGTAGAATTGGCCCCCTGTTACATTTATAGTAAAAAAATAGTACCATGAGACTATTAAGTAATTAGAAATAGGTTACATAAATGAAAATATAAAATAACAAGGAAGCAGACATAGTAACTATATTGCTTATGTGATGATTATTAATGAAATAATAACAATAATTTATAGTCCTTATTTATGTAAAGTTCCACGTGAGTATTATGGCCCGGTTTTCCTGCGTGTTTCTTGCCAGAGACAAGGCCATGTCCCAGCTGCGGGAACATTAATAGGCTGAGTAGGATGCTGAGTAAAATACTGAGCTTGTTGGTCATCTTTGCACAATTAAAAGGTTGCATGCATTATTGTATTGCATACGCTGCTTTTGGTATTCTCTAAAAATATACCATCGAAAACAGCGCTGGCGCATCATTAGTGCTTTAATGACATAAAACCTTTATTGTCTCCTGAAGTAGGTTTTATTTGAATGCAGCAATAGTATACGACGATGTATTATTAAAAAAATTGCATTGCTGCACTGTAATCTTTATTGTTTCTACGTAATCGTTTTATTGCAGACTTTTAAAAACTATTATTGAAATTAGCGCGGTCGTATTAGTAGGCCGGCATAGTTAATTATGCTGTTGCTTAGCAAGACCAAGGCCTGCGGAGCTAAGCTTAAGTCACGCGAACTAATAGTTTTTTACGTAAACAATGTCCTTGTTTTGAATTGTGAATTGGAAATAAAATAGGTCAACGATGGAAGTCACGTGAAAACTTTATATTTATATCATAGTCTAGATATTAATGCTAAATATATATAATATTTTATGAATAAAAGGTTGACAGAATAGTTGTTTTCGTGGTTGTATTTTATTTAAAGTTCCGAATATTTTAATAACATACTAATCTCGATGTTATTTATAGTTTTGGGTAAGATAATTTATTTGTTAATTCTGCCAATTTCTACAAGGTTTTTTTTTAATTTGCCGTGTTAGTAAGTGTGGGTTTAATATATCAAGTTAAATTATCCTATATCATCGATTGATCTGCAAATATAATTTTGATGACAATGCAATTTTGATATGGAATTGAGCTGCAACTGCTATGATGCAGTCGGAAGGTACCCATGGGATCTCTTTAATTAAACAAATCAACCGTATCGAGTTGGGATTCATTCGATATGTCGAGACAAGGAAAATATTCATGGTCTGATGATGGAACTGGTAAGTGCCAATAGGAACTTCGTAATTATTGAAACTCCGTCGATTTTGGACTCGTTGGATTAGTCTAGACAAGACTTACATCCAATAAAACTTCTCATTAAAAAAATAATAATACAGATTGTAGGTATATTATTAAATCCAGTTTCTGGAACGTTTAAACAGTTTATTTATATAGAAGGAAGCTTCAGAAAGTAATATAAAGTAACTTCTTCTTTTTCTTTATAATTATTTGCTATTTCCCTTTTGGATATTGCCAAAATCCAGTGTATAATTGTTTATGAGTCATCAATAAGATCAATTTTGAATTAATTTTACGCATTCGTTAAAAAAATCAATGAAAAGTTCTTAGTATTAAGTATCTAATTTATGAATCTCCTGTAATAAATAGATGTTAGCAAGAAAATAAATAAATACTTAATTTTTAATCATTAGTATTTTTATTTAAAAAGGTAAAGCCATTATCAGACCCATATAGTTATTAAAAAATCTAGTGATAACGATGGTAATAAAATTCAGGGCTCAATCCTGATTAAAAATTAATAAATATTATTTACTATATATAAAAAAATAAATACTTTCACCCTTTCACTTATTTGTAGGTTTGTCAATTTAATAGTCAATGACAAAATTTAATTAAAAAAATAATTAATTTCATTACTCACCAGTTTGGGATGAAGTTATATATGTAATAATATTTTCCATTCACAGTGTGTTGATATATTTATTAAACAAGTATATAAATAATCCATAAATGTTTATCGGCAGCTCCTCGTTTCTACTAATGTTAACATAATAATTGTATCTTAAATGAGTATCAATTACTTGGATTTTCTCATTGCAGTATCTACCTGAAGTCCAATATTATAAATGCAAAGTCTTTTAACTAATCATTGGTTACAGATACATCTGTTATTTTGTGATCTGGAAAAAAAACTGTGTCAATAAGACTTGTTATTGAAGCGCTATTGACTCGTCATAATTAGGGCCCAGAATTGGGGCCCTGCTGTGAAACCAATCGACGGATTTTTATTAATTCATTATTAAATAAATTTTAGGTTAAAAATATCATTAAATTGTTATGCAGATTTTTCAAATATTCATTGACATAGTTATATTGGAACTATTAGTATTATAACTTTATTTAAAAAGCTGAATTGTACGATATAGGTAGGTAGGAACTTTATTGTTAACAAAAACAAGACTAGTTTGGCACCTATCACATTTCTTTCAATTTATTATGTTATAGTTAGCCCGTTTGTACGAGAGAGCAGTGTTTTGATTTCATTCAAAATAACCCGCGACAGAGCTAATTTTAGATACCTTTGAATAGAATCTCTAAAAGAGATCAACACACTGTGAAATAAAATCAAGTATGACTGATAGACGTACAATATGCAACATGGAAATACAAAATGCAGGCGATCTATATGCTTACACATAGCACTAAACATACATCAAATAACCCAGTCTACGGTTTTTGGAATAATAAATTAAATATATGAATATTTTCATTCCGTCCAAAAAAAATTTTGGTAGTAAACCTTTTTTTGTTAAAATATATGATGCTCCAATCACTTTTCAAAGGAATATTCAAATATTTAAAGCCGAGACAACTAAGCTGTACTTTGTTTGATTAAAAGCTGACAAGCATTTTCTGTGTATTTTACGGAGATGTTTTATAGTAATTAACGTGTACTTACTTTGGCATTCCGCCTGTACAAGAGGGCAGAGACTTAGTGCCCACAATGCTGAAAATCATGCTTCAATTAGTAAAAAAAGAAATAAATTATATTCGGAAATGGAACACAACTAAACAGTTTGCTAGATAGAGATAGTTAGGTCCTGTAAATAACTGAACCTCGAAACCGTAGACTGGGTCGTTGTAAAATAGAAAAAAAATAAATAGAAAAGAGGTTAGTTGAGAAAAATATAAACGCACTTTTTTAAATTATTTTAGAAAAAAAATGCGTTCTAATCTTACCGGATAGTAAGTTCTACCGTGGTTACGTGTCGATTTGCTGTGTATTTACATAACTAACAAATTAGTATGTATTCTGAAAAACAAACTTCAGTTATTCACAGGAGTTATGTTCGACTGTTTTATTCAGCGAAGAAGTTTAAAGTAATAAACATATCGTATATAATTATCGATATTTAATAGTGGTTGTGTGACTAAAAACTTGAATGTCATGCAATATAAAATTACCATCCAATATCCAAGGTAACATCCAACACACATTCCTGTGGGCACTCAAACACAGAATATTATTATCACTGAAAACACATCGATATATCGATCTTGAGAATGAAAATTTTCTTGACATACGAGACGCCAATGTTTTGTTTCAAATAAATTTCTATTTATTTCACGCAATCGCGGACTTCCGTTCTCATTCAGGATATATTTATTATTCATCGAAATTTTAAATTTAGAATCGATATAATCGTTTGCGTTTACAGCCAACAAGGATACACGACACGTACTATATGAACATCTATTTATCAATTAAGGTACACATAAAGATTTTGTGATACAGCAGGACAGACGTTATACGGTTACTGATTGATATTTGGTTACCGGTTCTGATGCAGGAATTCGCTTTTACTTGTTCCACTCCAAACCACGACATGAGGAGTACTGAAACTGGAAAAAGACATATTAACTTTTTTATTAGAGAAAATAAAAAAGAAAAATTCCAGAAGAGACATGGCCAGTCACAAAATGGAGGAGCTCGATGGCGCAGTTCTTAGCGCATTCGATCTGCGATGCGGAGGTTGTCAACTTTCGCAAAGGATCATTGGATGGGTGATTCAATTTTTTTTTTATGTCGAGCTTTTTGGTGCTTCGTAGGGCACGTTAAAGCCGACCTCAAATGACCTTTCAGTCCGCATTCGGGCTGCGTGCTGGGTTAAAGCTTTTCTCTCTACCTTATTATATCCCTAAGAAAGTACAGTGCCCAAATAATGGAGACTATAGGAGCGAAAATTAATGCTCTGTGTTAATTTAAACTTTAAAACACGGTTACTAAACTGAAAACCAATTTGATAACTTTAAACTTCATACGAATTAAACAGTACCTGTTTTCCCTCGACTTTGCCCGCGTAAGTAATGACCTATGTCAACCGTGTAAGTTCAAACTTCCCGTGATGAAAGAATTAAAAAAATTGGTCCAGCAGTACTTTGGAGTCTATTAAATGCATATAAACAATCAAATCCTAACTTTTTATATTTAAATCTAGAGTACGTATAGAGAGTATTTTAATTAACTCTCATATATATCGGAGAACGAAAGAATGTTATGATATCTATACTATTATTTAATCTACGATCAATACGTGACTAAAATAAAAAGTTCATATGACGAAGAAGTGCAAAATTTCTAAACAAGCAATGCGTTTGACACTTTTCTTTATTTGTTGAAAGAAGTATGTATATAAATTACTCTTCGACTTCTGTATGATAAAAATCGTCTGTAATTTCAATATTTATGATCAAATTTCGTATTTTCAACCGCAGTACTATCAGTGCATTAGTTCATATCTATACTAATATTATAAAGAGGTAAAAATTTATTGTTTGTTTTTTTGCAACGAACAGGCTCCGAAACTACTGAACCGATTATAAAAATTCTTTCACCTACGGGAGGCTACATCATATGCGGTGAACACAGGTTATATTTTATCCCGAAAAACAATCTTTGTAGCCATTGCCATTATTAAATTTGTCATTGTAATTACATTCGTGTCTTGATATGAATCGATATCCGAATAAACAGTTCCTTAAGGACCGCGCGGGCGAAGTCACTGGCGGAAAGCTAGTTTATTACCTACGTAAAATGTTTCATAACAGGTTCGAGGTTTTAACTTGGCAGCTAACACAATGTTTCAATTAAAAAATATATATATTTTGTAAATAACTACACTAAATTTTGGAATAATGACGTTAATATTACATTGTGACCAGTGTTTTTTTTAAATAACAATACGTACAGTTGTCTGCACACAATAAATTCTGAATTATGAGTATGATATTGTTTTTGAGACGTAAAGGCGCATGTATACTACCAAGAAGTTTACACTAGTCATAGTTTACAGTTTACCAAAACTGTATTACAGAAATTGGTAAAACGACTTTATGCTAGTAAATTTGAAAATCATATTTTGAAAACCTCATCGCAATACGGTTTTCATAGTCTGTTTGCTATATGAGAGTAGCTCGGTGGCGTAGTGGATAAGCGCCGCGGCACGCGATCGTTGTCGTTAAGCATCTTTCGCAAGGGTCGGTCACGGGATGGGTGACGAAAATATTATTATCTAGAGCTACTCCGTGCTTCGGAATGCACGAATCTATTGTTAATAAATAAACAATAAAAAATTGCGTGAAAAAAAAGTTGGTGCAACACAACGAAAAAAAATTATATGTGATTCGCGCCTTGTAGTGTGAGTCTATAAACAAACAAGTTCGAACTTGTTATCGCGCTGTTTACTGCATCGTTTGTTTAGCTAAAGTCGCAGTCATTTGTATTACACAAGAAGGCAGTTTGGGACTCAAATTCTGTCATAGGTATTTTGTATCAGCATTTTTAAATTATTAACTATCGAACCAAATCATTATTAAGTAATAATGTCGAGAAAATGTAAAAATTGTAACAAGTACCTGTGTAAGGTTCCTGGTTATAAAAAAATTATGCAGAATGAAGAAGAAGCTAAAGTGTTTAGTGACTGTTTGAATAAAATCGTAATAGTTAATGATATTTTTTGTAAGAAGTGTTGACTTATCCCATATATTAACAAAAAAGCTTTTACTTCTAAATGTGCAGCATTTAACTTGGCCGAAATAATGGACGATCAAAATAATCTCTCAGTACAATATGTGAAATCAGCACCTAATATCATCAAAGCAGAAGTAAAATCTAAATAGAAAAGTCTATCGAATTTACATTCACTATATTTCCGAAGGTAATGACTACAATAGTATTCTTCGTTATTGCTGTGATTGCCCCAATGGCAAACGTACAGTGGGATGCTGTTCTCATGTAGCAGCTATTATTTATTATCTATCATATGGATGATATTTGTCCAAAATCGTACGTCCTGCTGAGGTCCTAACTAAGTTATTTGCGACTCAAAGTGTTCCGATTGTAATTAATTACAACAGTGACGATGATTAATATTTTGTTTCTTGTATTTTGATAGACACGAAAAAGTAATAATAATAAGTATTGAACACTGGCTGTTTTTTTTTTCATTTCTTTTTTAACTATTATCCCATCTCTTAAGACTAGTTACTTATGTTTTAAAACAAGCTGATGTGAAATTTTGAAAAAAAAAACAATGATGTAATGTGAAAACCTTATAATACAGGGGTATACCATAAGACAGAAATCACATATAATTTTTTTTCGTTGTGTTGCACCAGCTTTTTTTTCACGCAATTTTTATGGGTAATAGAGCACACAAAGGAGCATAACATATATTAATTTCGTGATTGTAAGTCACAGAGTATTTTTATTTTTTTAATGTAATTTTTTATTCTAAAAATTATAAAAAAATATATGTGATATACTCTGTAATGTAACCTAACACCTCGCGTTAGTTTCACTTGTTTATCTTAATTAGCTTCAGAGATATATCACATTCAGTAATAGTCAAGCATACGGATATTTTGCTCTCTATCTCAAGGTCAAAGCGGAAGTCGGTCGCGAAAAGTACATAAATCGTGTTTGAACATCAAGTCGATATTAAAACATAAGTTTCAATATCGATTCCCATTTGGGGGCCGACTCGTCATACGTATCCGGCTAAACCCTTTTTTTTTAATCTGTTTTTTCGAATGAAATTTAACAAATCGTCTTTATCAGATAGCCATCTTACAGGCATTTTGGGCTTAGCTAATTCTAAAACTCCAGCTGACATCGATGCGCTGTGCAAAAAAGAAAAAAAAACAGACATCTCATTAATTAGATTTTAAGTTATTAGGTCTTAGCAGGCATATTACAGTAATAATATTTTATTAAGATTTATTTGATGTTGGTTTTTACAAATAAATAAATAAACCAAATCAGTTTTGGTCTATTTGTTTTTTTTTGGCTCGCTACGGTTGCGAAAATGCTGAACCTGGGCCTCCACAAAATATATCGGACAGGCCATCTAAGTATACTCTTAATTATAAAAAAAATATAACGTTAAATTTTTGATATTAAATTATAACGCCAATTAAAATAAAGTGCAAAGATAATAAATATATCTTATAATGAGAAAGTTTCTGATGTTGATGATGTTGATATTATAATATTTAAAAATAATAAAAATGTAGGTCGAAACTAAAATAAATCTGAAAACAAAATTAAAATCCGTTAATAAATGACCAAGTTAAAGATTATTTAAAACTACGTGTTTTCGCATAGAATGTCTTTGGCTTACTACTCGCTTGTGACGTCACAGTACCGAACTCGAGATCGTCGCACTACAAATTAAATAGAAGTGTAATCACTTACTATTTTCTTTAGTTATTAAGTCAAAGTCAAAGTCAAAATAATCTTTATTCAAATAGACTTCTTAAAAGTACTTTTGAATCGTCCAACATTTTTTCCCTACCACTCATTCTGGACGTCTTTTGGCTGATAAGAAGAACGAGCAAGAAACTCACCAGCTCTAATAAGAGTAATGACATTAACAAAAACCATGTCATTACCAGATCAATACATTATAACAAAAAAAAAAAACAATGGTCTTATAATAATAACATAATCTTTTGCAAAAATGTATATATTTTATAACCTACCAAAGGTAAAACTAAAGATATTAATGTGTATTATACTGTTTAAATACCAATCCGTATAAAAAACAGGCAAGAGCGAGTCGGACTCGCGCACCGAGGGTTCCGTAAAATTATTACAATTTAATACCTTAGAACCTATCCAATAAATACTTACTTATAAATATAATACTAATTGATTATTATTGTTGTTTTCTTTGTGGTTGTAAGAATAAGAAATAGTAAATGTGCTATATCTCCGAAAGTTTTCGTTGATAATGTTCATTGGGGTCTATAACATATTTTTACGTTGGTATTCCATTCCATTTTGATAATATTTAATTTTGCCAGTTAGCGGTTTTTGTATTAACTGTTGACTTTTATAATGGCATATTAACATTGATCGATAGGGCCCGCGTGCATAGTGCAAGTGATTCCTACGGGCTCATTTCACTGGCTTATAAATTCTTTCAGTTTATAGTCAAACACTAATGCAAATAAGTACGAAAACTTTAGTAACTTTACTAAACTTCTTCATTGTGCGTGGGAGAGCCACGCTTCGGCATGAATGGGCCGGCTCGACCGGAGTGATACCACGGCCTCACAGAAAACCGACGTGAAGCAACGCTTGCGTTGTGTTTCGTCGTGTGAGTGAGGGTACCAGAGGCCCAATCCCTCCCTATTCCCTTCCCTCTACCCCTCAACCCTTCCCTTCCTATGATCATATTCGTCCCTCAAAGGCCGGCAGCGCGCTTGTCGCACCTCTGGTGTTGCAGGTGTTCATGGGCAACGGTAATCACTTACCATCAGGTGATCCGTCTGCTCGTCTGCCCCCTATCCCATAAAAAAAACAATGTACTGTTATTTAAATTGAAAACCTCCTACCCCAAATTGACATTGCGACACTATACTATATAAATATACATATTTATATATGTGTTCTTATATGGAAACCGGGTGTATGTATTTTAACAGAAGGTGTACTATTGAGTGTTGTTTTAGTTTGTGAGGCGCTACTTAGTTTTATTGTTGATCGAAGCAAACAGTACATAATATTTACATGTGTGCATTACGTTATATAGGTACAAATTATACATACAAATTTATCAGTTACTTAAACAATACGGGTATATTTATAATATCGTTTAAATTAATTATGAAAAAAGAAATATTTTATCACGTGATCGCAAACAGCGTGTGACGTCACGTCCCTCTTACTCATATCAGAACTTGGAGAATTCAACCTTATGCATACATAGAAAGATACTCGTTTCAAAATGCAGTGAGTATGATCATAGCGACGCCATGACAGAAGTGGCTTTTCACGGGAAATTTTGAAAATTAAATTTATTTTTAGTTTATAATCTACACCACTATAATTTCACTTCTAAATATCATAAATTAATAATTACAACAGCAACATAATAGATATATACGAGGGTCAAACTGAAAGTTCTTAGAACTGGCCACTTATAAACAATATAATAAAAAAATAATTCTAAAATTTGAAAATATAACTCTTTGCCAATATTACTGAGTATATATTTCATTCATTTGTCATTTGTTTTACGATTTGGCGGCAAATTGAAAATTGTCTGTGTCACGTCATCATGAATTTAACACGAGAAAATTTTCGTGCAATGATTTTTTATGACTTTCGATGTCATTTAAGTCAACAAGAAAGTTATGATAGACTACGATTGGCCTTTCACGATGAAGCCCCATCTCGTGCGACTGTTTACAACTGGTTTAATGAGTTTAAACGTGGTCGCACTAATCTCACTGATGATTTACGTGAGGGACGGCCTTCTACGGCGACGACTGAAGATAACATCTGTGTTGTGCGGCGTATGATAGAGACTGACAAAAGAGTGACCTATCAACAGATTCGGACAAGCTTAGGCATCGGTATGAGTCAAGTGCACAAAATCTTCCACGAACATTTAGCGGTCAGGAAGCTTTGCGCCCGGTGGATACCTCATAATTTGACTGAGGCTCAAAAACTCCATCGTGTGGATTGGTGTCGTAAAATGATTGAAAGATTTAACGGAGGTGACTCAAATGCTGTGTTCGACATACTAACAGGTGACGAAAGCTGGATTTACTGTTATGATCCTAAAACCAAAAGACAATCTGCTCAGTGGGTGTTTCCTTTCGAGGAGTTGCCAACTAAAGTGAAGAGAGATCGAAGTGCGGGAAAAAAAATGGTGGCCTCGTTCTTTGGAAGGATAGGTCATTTTGCAACAATTGTGTTAGAGGATCAAAAAACAGTTTCTGCAGAATGGTACACTACCAATTGTTTGCCACTTGTCTTGGAAAAAGTTCGAGAGAAACGACCTCGCAGTAGGATCCTCCTTCACCACGACAACGCCTCGTCGCACACCGCCAAGCGAACGATCGACTATTTGGCGACATCAAACGTTGAATTACTGGGTCACCCGCCGTATACGAGGGTCAAACTGAAAGTTCTTAGAAAATAAAAAACTGATTACATTAGCCAGTTATTAGTTTTATTATATCTTTTCAAAATATTGTCCATTCACGTCAATACACCGCTGCATGCGATGGAACCACTGGGAAAAGCACTTTGCCCACTCGTCCTTAGGGGTCTCTTCAATGGCATCGCGATACGCAGCCACCGCTTCTTCAGCATTCATAAACCGCTTTCCTTTAAGTTTTTCTTTAATTTTTGGAAATAAATAAAAATCACAAGGCGCGAGGTCGGGGCTATACGGCGGGTGACCCAGTAATTCAACGTTTGATGTCGCCAAATAGTCGATCGTTCGCTTGGCGGTGTGCGACGAGGCGTTGTCGTGGTGAAGGAGGATCCTACTGCGAGGTCGTTTCTCTCGAACTTTTTCCAAGACAAGTGGCAAACAATTGGTAGTGTACCATTCTGCAGAAACTGTTTTTTGATCCTCTAACACAATTGTTGCAAAATGACCTATCCTTCCAAAGAACGAGGCCACCATTTTTTTTCCCGCACTTCGATCTCTCTTCACTTTAGTTGGCAACTCCTCGAAAGGAAACACCCACTGAGCAGATTGTCTTTTGGTTTTAGGATCATAACAGTAAATCCAGCTTTCGTCACCTGTTAGTATGTCGAACACAGCATTTGAGTCACCTCCGTTAAATCTTTCAATCATTTTACGACACCAATCCACACGATGGAGTTTTTGAGCCTCAATCAAATTATGAGGTATCCACCGGGCGCAAAGCTTCCTGACCGCTAAATGTTCGTGGAGGATTTTGTGCACTTGACTCATACCGATGCCTAAGCTTGTCCGAATCTGTTGATAGGTCACTCTTTTGTCAGTCTCTATCATACGCCGCACAACACAGATGTTATCTTCAGTCGTCGCCGTAGAAGGCCGTCCCTCACGTAAATCATCAGTGAGATTAGTGCGACCACGTTTAAACTCATTAAACCAGTTGTAAACAGTCGCACGAGATGGGGCTTCATCGTGAAAGGCCAATCGTAGTCTATCATAACTTTCTTGTTGACTTAAATGACATCGAAAGTCATAAAAAATCATTGCACGAAAATTTTCTCGTGTTAAATTCATGATGACGTGACACATACAATTTTCAATTTGCCGCCAAATCGTAAAACAAATGACAAATGAATGAAATATATACTCAGTAATATTGGCAAAGAGTTATATTTTCAAATTTTAGAATTATTTTTTTATTATATTGTTTATAAGTGGCCAGTTCTAAGAACTTTCAGTTTGACCCTCGTAGCCCCGACCTCGCGCCTTGTGATTTTTATTTATTTCCAAAAATTAAAGAAAAACTTAAAGGAAAGCGGTTTATGAATGCTGAAGAAGCGGTGGCTGCGTATCGCGATGCCATTGAAGAGACCCCTAAGGACGAGTGGGCAAAGTGCTTTTCCCAGTGGTTCCATCGCATGCAGCGGTGTATTGACGTGAATGGACAATATTTTGAAAAGATATAATAAAAGTAATAACTGGCTAATGTAATCAGTTTTTGATTTTCTAAGAACTTTCAGTTTGACCCTCGTACTATAAAAAGCCATAGTTGTACAATCAATTTTGAATGAAAGATCTATTGGATTACTTTGTCAGCCAGTTGCACAAATTTCCATTAAAATTTTCATTAGTTTAAAGCTACATTACCCATACAAATTTGACATTCGTTAGAGCTTAAAGACGTCATTAAACCTTAATGGACGTTTGTGCAACTGACCATGTATCTCACAGATGCGTTGCAGAAGTTGTGGAATGTCACAAATGACAAATATATATTAATTGAAATTCGACCTTGCTTGGTTGTCTTCAATTTATAGGGATTATATTACAAAAACATGCTGTAATAACATCTAATTCTGAATGTTTTATATCCTATATAAAAAAAAACCACATAAAAAAACATTATATTCACAATTCAATAAATTCCACCATATGATTGCGTATTCCAGCTGACCAGACTCCCACACCGACACGTTTTATAAGGAACTGCGAGGAGGTCGGCTTGTTCCAAGACCTGCAGAATGTGAACCCCTTCGAAGAAGGATTCAAAAGGGCAATGGAGACATGCAAGTACTTAATTCATTGTTTTTCTCTAGTTATTAAGAGACACACTTTAGTACCATTAATTTTACCTAGTCTATTCAATACAAACTAACAAGCAATCAAATCTTTCCAATTAATTTAATCGCTCTAGTATCGAGATATTTAAAGTATGTTAAAATTAGTGCACTTTGGCTCTTAGATAAGATTAAACTTAAATAAGGATTTACGAGAATCAAAAATAATATTTTTCTATATAAACAAAATTATAAGTATGTTTCGAAATCTTCGAATTATCGTTCAAGGACAATTAGAATAGGCCCTCAGGTGTCATGTTAATTCGTACGAGTTATTCTGTGTATTCTTTTTTATTCTCTCTCTCCCTCTACTTTTGTAAACTGTATTATACTGTATATCGTATTTTTCCAACAGGCATGGTCTTTTGCTGGAGAATGCTGTATCTACATCCACATCTGATGACCTCCATACTCCTCAAATGGTATTCCCAACACTTGACGCCGGAGATGCCACACTTTATACAAGCAACAATAAAAAAAATATCACAATAAGCAGGTGAGTTTCAACAAACAGATCAGCAGATTTTTTTCTTATCTCTTTTAGGTTTTAGATTCTTTTCTCCATAAAGATAGAGCAGGGAAGCGAACGCAGACCTTCTGCTATCTCACGGTGGGAAAGAGGGAGATCGCTTTACCGTATTTATCTCTCTTTACTTGCGCATGTGTAGTTAGCGCGGAAACAGAGCATAGCAGAACGATTTGACGGATTCTCTATATCTGTAGTTTACTGTAGGTTCCATCGTAGCTGAGACGCCATTTCATGTTTTGAAGTTTTATTTTTCCCACAAATACAATCGTAAATAAAAGCAGTTGATTAAGCCTGGGATAAAAAAATATTTTAATTTTAGATAGAGCTGAATGTCTCCTTTATTAAATAAGACACGCTGTTGCATAGTTTCAATAATTATACCTAATTATTATATTTTTATTAATTTTGCATTCACAATGCCATACTGAAATTTATTCTTAATACAACATGCTTAAAAAATCCGTCTCATGGTCAAAAATCTTTAAGCATTTTGTATTAAGAATAATAATTATACCTGATTGATTAACATTTAAATAAGCATTGACTATTTCAATTTGTCTAATAAGAAGTCTACTTCCTGCAGATCATCGAGCGATGAATCAGGAACAATAAAAGAGTATGAAACGACTACCATATCTAAATTGACCAATCAGGTGACGACTATCAGTCGCATTGTTAACAAACTAGATACTGTTGAGAAATCAGAAGAATCACAGAAAGGCGACGATCACGTTAGACACAAAGACGTACATAATGAAAGATCTGTGTCATACACAAATAATATCATAAAGATACAAAACAACATAGAAATTAGGAAAGACAATCTTGTCAATGTCGAAACTACTAAAAGCATGCCATCAAATAGAATTACATATGATACTATAACGAAAGAAACAAGTGGTGTACCAATGAAAGACGTTTTATTAACAGACAGTAGCAAAACACATGAAAATAACAAATTGCCTCCGATAATGAGTCAGAAATCTTTAGATTTCGTCGTTGACAGTCTCACTTCGGAAATATGTCAGAATCATAATGGCAAACCTGTTGTTAAGATGAGAAATAGAAGAACGAACAAGATTTTACCTAAAGCAACACCGGCTACTAATGTTCCAATGATAGGCATGTCAAAAAATGATAGTGTTAAAAATGACGCAACTAAAGTTAAATTAGAAAGTAAATGTAACGATGATTACGAAGTTACAATCAAACTGCCGAACGGTAAACGGGTAAGAATGAAAGCGGTAGATGAATCAATGAGCTCTGATAAAGTAAAAAAAGAGAGTGACGCAAAAGAAAAATTGAAAAATGCAATAAACAATAAAGTTACACATAATAATTTACAAAGACTGCATAGTATTACGGCGCCAATACAAAGCATAGTGCCTATAGCTGCTGGTACTTTAATACCTGTTACTATAATCAATCCCACCGCATTAGCTGTACCTAAAATACCTATACCGCCGTTTAATCCATTCGCCAAACCAAGTCAAGAGTTTAAGAAAACTGTTAAGAGAAAAATTGTTGGTAATAAAGTGACTGATAATGGTGAGAAGAATCCCGATGATGGTAAAATAGGCTCTAAAGATGATGATTGCGCATTTATTGAACAGCCACAGAAGAAGAGTAAAGAGAATATGGACAGCCGAGTGGCTGCTTCGAGACGATATAGGTATGTCTTATATTGTTTAGTTTTGTATCCAATTGAGTTTGCGATTTAGGCCGTCATTCTGGTGCCATCAATAATAATAATAATAAATCTTTATTTGCGAATAAATGTTTATAATGATAACCAAATTCAATTAACGTTTTAGCGGCTTTGAAATCAGCCATCTTGTTGAACGGTCTAAATGTCATAATGATTAGACTAGAAAACTAATTGAATGGCGCCATTAAATAAAACGGGTAGCCGCCCAATTGAACGACTGTTTAATATTTAAACCAGTTGGCATATAGACGCTTTTATAAGGTACTACGGTTAAGGTTAGGAATTATATTAATACTTTAAATTTCTTGGCAAGTTATTAAATTTAATGAGGAAGTATTCTAAAAAAAACATTAGTTCCCGAAATCAAACTAGATGTCGCTACGGTACGTTCTTGATTTCTTCATGACAACCCTTCCGGTTTTCTTTCATGTTTAAAAGTAAATTAGTTTATTAATTAGTTTATTAGTTTTTAAAACTCAATAAACAACTCATATTGTATTTGTACTTTTTCGTATTTGTATTTATATCTAAGTTTCGAACTTTTCAAATTTTAGTTTTTAATATGTTAGTTAAAAGGAACGGAAATGACTGTCTTTGGTCCATTCGTTTCATGCAAAAATCAACTTTAGCTAGAGTCGCCATCTAGTGGAGGTGCTTTTTAGTGCTTTCGTTTTCTTTTAAATACTCCCTCATTACTAAGTTCTATTCATATTCTGCTCCTGTAAAGATTTTTGAAATAGATTTTCATTAAGATGCGTAAATTAAACTTACTTTTTATGTAAATCACTTTTAAAATCGATATATTTAAAAGTGATTGTGATATAAAAATCTTTCTCATACATTAAATGAAAAGGTATATTTTTTAGAGTTCGACTAAGAGAGACCATGAAGAGGCAAGTAAACGAAATAAAACAACTCAGGGAAGCGAACCAAAGACTGGCCACTGACAAAGCCGTGCTTCAGGTACTCATCACTGAGCACATGAAGACCTGCCCCAACGCCGACGATTTTAGTGAGCTCATTTTTTTTATACAGCGTGTTTGGTAATACCTGTATAATCTCGATTATGGCACATACGGTATGATGAACAGAACCCAGAAAAATGATCACTAAGTCTGAAACCCAGCACATGACCTAGATATTTAGCCTTTTTCTTCGAAGTAAAACTGTACACTGACAGCCCTAAAAACAGCTGTATTTGGTCATCGACTCCATGTGCCGAACTAGTTTAAAAAATAACAGAATTTAAATAAATCTAAAGATAAATGCCTAGAATAAATATGCATTCGAGAGTAATTTGTTATTTCAAAAACAAAGAAATAGTTAGTAGTAAATGACTTTTAACCATAAAAGAACACCAATCTTGTGATTAACGGTGTTTCACAAACTATTATTAAGAAAACTTCTCTAATAATACAGTCAAAAAAAGAAATTGCAAATACTTTGATTAAAGTTAGATATCTGCACTATTGCTCACATTAGTCTATGCAAGAAGGAGCGACAGAGACATAAAATCGACGACGATGTGTATTGAGAAACTCGGGTTTCTGATGTGCCAGTAAGGTTCTGTAGATTATACTATTTTCACGAAACAATAAAATACGGACTTATACAATGATATTAATAATCTAAATATCTCGCTTATTCTTAGTTTCAATGATAATTAAATAAAGGTTAGATGTAATGGAACGGTCTAATAATAAATAATATTTCTTTTCTTTTCTAATTTAATAAATACATAAATTTTTTTATTCCTTATAATTTTGTTAATGACTTGGTCTTAAATTAGGTACCCACTTTTAATATTATGGACTTTTTTTCTTTAGTAACCGTGAAAAGCGTAAATAAAATTGTAATAATAAGTAAACAGCCTAATTATCAATTTCGTCAGTAAAAAAATAGTATAATAAGTTACCTTGAAAATTCATTGTTTACTTAAATAAAAAAATAACGAGTTTTTGTTAGGTAGGTTACCTAACACAGAATTTGATGACGCGGAACCCTAAATCGGTGCACTTTTGATTAGGTACATTGTTGTTCGAGTTGCAATAATTACCTATGTAATTTTGGTCATCGCTTCGGTCGCGTCCGAGACTTTCATCGGAATTTAAAAGGTCAACTTACGTTTTCGTTCTTTCGGGACTTTTGGTTTGTTTTTCATACTCGCTCTGTTTACCTGTGTGTTGTGTTTGTGTGCGGTCAGTGCAATGAGTTCGTACTAAAATGCCTAATATTACGAGTTGATAATGTGTGTTGGTGCTTGTGACGGTAATCTTGCTGCGGCTCGGCGGCGTTATGACGAGCGCCACGTGTCAGGAAGATCTGAAAACCCTCGACGTCTTCCTTCCAACCGGTGCTTCGCGGTACTTGTGAATCGGTTACATACAACTGGTTCATTCCATAGTGTGCCACAGGAAGGCCGGCCGTACACCTATTCCATCGAGACAGAGGATATGATTTTACGTCGAGAGTAACACGGTCTGTGGCCGGCATATCGAGACCCTGGACTGATAAAGTGGAGGTGAAGTGTAGGTAATGTTGACAAGTGAGAGCTGAAAGAGTGATTAGAACGCTGCCTCTAGGTATGGACCTGTTTAATCTTAAATTGTTTTAATTACAAGTAAATTCATACGCAGTCGAGTGCGCGCGTTGGTGACATCAAATTGTATTCTAGGAAACGAGAGAGAGTGAGAGGTAATGAGAGAGAGAGAGAGCGAGTACGCCGGAACGGCACGTGTATGCTTTCATGGTTGTAGCATATTAATTGAAAACAAATTGTTCAAATATTTGTATGAAAATCTCAATTTACGTGAAATTGTTTTTTGACATATTAATTGTGTTCTTTGTGCTAGGTTGTATGGCCATATTTCGGGATTATACATGTATTTCCAAACATCCTGTATAACCCGAAACTTCTATGTATACTAAACAAGTTAAGCGATTTTATTGATATGTATATAATTTCAATTACAGGATCTGTACAAGAGAAGCTTGCACAAACATCAGGGAATGTTTGAAAATTGGTAGCATACTTATCAGAGGTGTTGCCAGCCGATGGCAAATTGATTATTGAGAATGAGTTAAGTATGAATTGTAACTTTAAGTAAAACATGAAGCTTTTTACTTGTAGTACGAACCTTACATCTACTGCAATTGTATTAACAACAGTACAGAGTTCAACTTATAAAGTCAGTTCACTAGCTCATGACTACAATTAATAAAACTTGTAAATAAGTTATTAAATTTATTAGAAACTATGAATAAATATAATTTGGGAGTTTGAATGTACATCACTCTCTTTCAGCCGATAACGATAGCATAAAACAGACCGTAGTTGAATGTAGGAATAGAATTGGTAAGTTCATTCGAGTTTCGACGTATTGGAATGATCGATGATGCAAGTCAAGTTATAAAATTAGGAATTTGGTCGTTTTACATTAGGCAACTTTATAGAATCAGCTGCCCCTCCCGGCGATACTTATAGAAATATTGGCAATTTGATTAATATGGTCTTTATTACATTAGACTAATTTTCAACTTAACCACCGAGAGATTTAAAGGCAAAAATTGTTATTAACCTGATGTAGTAAACTAGTGTCAAAATTGCTTAAATTATTTTTTCTTTAAATAAAGATTAAAATCGAAATTCCAGAACCGTTGTATCCAATGGACATGAGATCAAGTCACTAAAAAGATTAAAGTTCTACTCGTGAATTAAGTTCCAAAATGATCACGTTCAGCAGAAAGAATCACGTTCGCTTTCCATACATTGATTGGTTGTTTCTTTTTTTTTAAAGGCGTGTCTAAATACCATTAGCGATAATTTAAATAAGTTTCCTAAAAAATAAAATAAGAACTAAACATTTCTATCTTTATATTTTTACACAAGAAATGAAAACAAGAAATAAAGATAAACTTGCCGTTCCAAGCTTCAGACTTCAAAAAACCAGAGGATCATTTCTGGGTAAATGTATTGCTATGTTCAATAAAGCTCCACAAAATGTAATTGACCTACCCATAAATAAATTTCAAATTCATGTAAAGAATATACTTATGAGTAAAGGCTATTATAAAGTTGATGATTACTTTAAGGATCGCAATGCATGGAATTAATAGCCTTCGCTTTGTTCTATAAAGACTAATTATATGTTCAACTTATGTCCTACAGACTTTGAAAGTTGTATTTACTATTGTGATAAATTGATAATACATATTATTTTGGTAATGACATGATTTATGTAAATGTCATTACTTATGATAAAAAGCTGATAAGTTTCTTTCGCTTGTTCTTCTTGTCAGCTAAAAGACGTCCTGAACAAGTGGTAGGGGAAAAAAGTTTTTTTGGACGATTCAAAAGTGCTTGTAATAGCCTACTTGAATAAAGATATTTTCATTTCATTTCATATATCTGGAGCAGAATTAGTAATTTCTAAATAATGTTTTGAGGTTATAGCAGCTGTCATAACTCGAAATAATTGTGAAGCTAGTTTAAAAATGAATAAAAATCAACGCTTTTTATAGTTTGACTCTTACATTTATTTCTCTTCTTTCTACAAGAGAAATAAATATAAATGTAACTGTCAATGTGCACTTTTAACCATATGACGAAAGAATATTAAAAAAGTAGCACACCGTCATGTTAGGGTCCGAATCGCATCAGAGTAGTTTTATAGAACTTTTCAAAAAGAATTATCAGCCTCTCAATTTTTGTCTTGACCCTTAAAACTGAAATAATAATTATATATATAAAAACTATATCATTAATTATATGATATGAAATAAGTCAATTTTAAGCAACAATTTGAGAGTGACAAATCTCCACAATGTTACTTATTTTTTAGCTTATCACTAGACACGTCAGGAATTTTTTAGGTTTGATTGAACATGATTCTTCGTCCTTACGTTGTAACGTTGATGTGTGTACAATAGAGTAAATGTTTCTAAACCATTTTCAGAGTCCTAAAACCTGCAAACGCAACTAACTAAATATTTGAAAGATTATTTTTCGATTAGATACTAGGTCATGTAAGGATTTTGCACGATTTAAATTTACAAAAGGGGGATATACGTAGATTTCTGAATATATTGAATTTCACACGTATTTCTAGTGTACATTTAACTTTTTAATTTTAAGGTTTACTTTCGAAAGCGAATTATAATTTTATTTAGGTTATAAAAAATGATCTCTTATAATATTATTTTCATATAAGTATTGATATAGTATTTTAATATAATGAATATTGTTTTAAAATTGTAGTTAGGAATATATCATTGTTACAAATTATCGGGAGTTGCAAGAGATGTATGCTGTCCACTAGGACATAGAATCGCAGGTATATTTATAATAATGTATATACCTGCGATTCTCGTTTTTAAACATATTTTATTTTTATGTAGCAATAAATAAATAATTTCGGTATTTTCTTTGTTATTAATGAAAATTGTAGCTACTATGATTTTGTTCATTTGTAGTTTTCGATAACTTTAAATTCCCGGATTCACAAGTCATATCTATATTAACATACACATTAATGATATTAAATCTTCAAGTAACTATATTCTTTAAGTTTTTTTTATAGTATACGTTTTAACGAATACCTACTTAGTAACTCATATATTGCCATAGTCCACACGTAGACATACGATTTTTCGCAGTATTAAAATTAAGACGTATATTTGCTAACAAAAAAGAGCAGGGCAGTGTCATGTGTACACAGTTTTAGCACGAAAATTATCAAGTGAATCTTATATCAAAAAATTGTTATGAAAGGGTTTAGCCGGATACGTATGACGAGTCGGCCCCCAAATGGGAATCGATATTGAAACTTATGTTTTAATATAGACTTGATGTTCAAACACGATTTATGTACTTTTCGCGACCGACTTCCGCTTTGACCTTGAGATAGAGAGCAAAATATCCGTATGCTTGACTATTACTGAATGTGATATATCTCTGAAGCTAATTAAGATAAAGAAGTGAAACTAACGCGAGGTGTTAGGTTACATTACAGAGTATATCACATATATTTTTTTATAATTTTTAGAAT